TCAAGTGTTGGTGAGATGCTGAGGAAATAAAACTCATATATTGTTTATGGAGATATAAAATGTTATAGCTATTTTAAAGAAATTTTTAAATTAAACAAAGATATGATTAGACCATGCACTCCTAGATATCTACCCAAGACAAATATAAACATATGCAAAGGCTTGTACACCATGTTCATAGGAGCTTTATTTGTAATTGCCAAGGACTGGAACCAACCCAAATTTCTTCCACAGGTGTGAAGACAACAATAATCTGTACATCCGTACAATGGCATATTACTTGGCAATAAAAAAGAAAAAAACTACTAATACTTGAGACCATTGGGAAAATCTTTTAACAATTAGGCTGTGTGGAAGAAGCCAGACAAAAAAGAATACAAATGTGTGATGCCTTTTGTATAAAACTGTAGGCAATGCAAAGTAATCTCATGTAAAAAAAAAAAAGCAGGAGTTGCTGCTGGTAAGGAGAGGTATGTAGAAAGAGCAGCAGGAGGAGATTACTAATTGAAAGATTTTGGAATGCTGTTTATATTCATTCCCTTGACTATAGTTATGTACACATGTGCCACAACTTATCAAATTGCATCCTAACTGTATGAAGTTTTTGTACATCAGTTACACCTGAAAAATCTTGTTTGCTTATGCATTTATTTATTTTTTAGAAGGGTCAACTTCATTGGGCAATTGGTGAAGTCAAGAACATGTCTTCTCGTATTTCCCACAGGGCTTATCTCAGGTGTGAGCATAAGGTAGCCAGCCAAGTTTTGATCACTTTCACTTATACAAGATGTACTAGGGCAGCAAGCAGCTGATAACAAGCATGTTTACTAGACCCACTTAACTGATGGGGAAACTGTGATTTACTGAAGCAGTCGAAGACACAGGGTGAGGGGACTTGGCCTGGTCGCTCATCTTTCTGTACTGCTAGTTCAAATCAATTCATTTTAATCCAAAACGTTTGGCCCTGGACTGTTTCTAAAGAGGGCAGAATGACTGCCACCTACCTAGGAAAGAAGTTAAAATGAAACAGAGAAAGGATGATGATGATGAAATAGTAATATTAGTATTTACTACTTGATAGCCACTGACTGCTTGCACTACCTGCTTTTGTCTATTAATTCTCACCTAAGTTTTATGTTAAAGCTGTTACCACCCCATCTTAGACAGGAGGCCCTAGGAGATAGTAACAGGGAGTTGTACTAAGTTGTAGAACTAGAATTTGAATCCATGTTTGGGCTCCTATCATTAAACTGCTCCTGCATACATGTCCACCTGCACATACATGTAAAAACCACGCAAACACACACCTCATATACTCAACCAAATGTATACACATATGTGCCTACAAACATGGGTACACATATGAAATATGATCAAAGGATATGGTGAACGTTCATATTTTAAAATTTTATGACAGTAAAAGACACATTGTCATGAATCCTTTTCAAAGCACTCCCCTAACAAGGCTGGGGGTTTAGCTCAGTGGTTCTGCTGCCTGCCTCAAAGCATTTTTTTTACCACTTTCTGAAGCAGTTCTAGAAGTTCTCCTTTGTGAATGTCTTTACAAGGTATGGTAAGAAAATACAGTGAATGTTGCTGTGCAGTGCCATCCAATGGAAAGGCAGGCTTATAAAAACATTATGTGTGTCTTCTTCTACCTTATTCACTGGATCTGGCTTTTCCCCAAAGATATAATACAAGAATTGCCACACATGCTTAGACAAATGTATATTCACAGATATCCCCTGAACATGCACATGTATACATACACACATATTTGCAGGACACAGCCAAACACATACACACACGTGTATACCCTGGTATACACTTGAGGCACCCTAAGAACATACATTATGCCCTTCTTGTTTGGGCTTCCAAAGGCCCCCAACTTCTAGTTTCCAGACCACACCCAAGGAATATTCAGGACACTGAAGTCCTAAAGTCTAAAGTGAAATTATGCTCAGGCACCCAACCTGGGACTATGTGCGAGTCAGGCAATCAGAGGCATTACATTTCCCATCAAAGAAATTTTGGATGGGCTTATTAACCTTTGAAAATATCAGCTCTCAGTCCAAAGGACTTCCTGAATCCACACTGAATTACAACATAACCTCATGAAAGACCACCTGGTTCTCAGATGATGGGAATTACTTTCAATTCAGGCCAACATATCCCTCAGACAAAATGTTCCACATACCAAAACTGACAACAGCCAAGTGAGTCTATTACAGATTATATCCAGCATGGCTTTGACAGGGAGTGGGTGCTCTGGGCTCAGTCACTGTAGGGGCGGAAAGGAGCAAGCCTCATAACTTTTTTTTTTTCTTTTGTACTGGGAATCGCACTTGGGTCCTTGCGCTTGCAAGGCAGTCCACCGAACTGCTGAGCTAAATCCCTGGCCAAACTTTTGAAATGTATGTCCCTGTGCTATAGGATGGCAGGTTTGCCTGTTCATGTACCTAGGTACCTTGGCCTCTGGCAGTGAATTCCTTTTTGAATGTTCAGTTTGGGGTAGATGCTGACAGAAGGAAAGACACAGAATATCATGGGGAAAACTGGAAATAAACGGATAACTCCAGGGTTGGAGAAACTGACTCACCTGCCCCTACTGTCTCATGCTGGAGGACAGTTTCCGCTCCTCTCCTCTGAGCCACATTCTGGCCCAGAAGATTGTCTGTATAAATTTCTGGCCATCTCAGTGGTTTTCTTTACTCTAAGAACTCATGTGAAACAGCTTTTCTACTGTAACAGTTGCCAGGGGCTCCAGACTTTATCCTTAGCTCTGTATTAAATAAATTATATGGTCTTCGGTAAAACCCTTAATTTAAGAACCTCAAGTTAAGAATATAAAAGATGTGAGTGTTGGGTCCTGCCCTTTATGCTTCACAAATTTGCCATGGAGACCAACAGGGTTAATAAGGAGGTGGTATGCTCTGAATGAGAGGCCAGGGTACTACTGGGCTTAGTTACATCTTTCACCATTCTACCACTGTTCACTATTCACTGATCAGGCACAGCCTTGCATGGACTTGCAGACATGTCTTCAAATGTCTTCTCTCCTTCCAGAGTTTGACTTCCAGATCCTGGCTTTCCTTCTGCACTGCTGCCAACCACTGAACCACTTGGCAGACTGCATCTCATTCACATGTTCAGCCCCCAACAGATAGATCAAATCTCTCAGTCCTTTAGTTCCCAACAAGCCTATCCTTTCTTACTCAAGGACTGTGCTCACTGCTAAGAAAAAGGGGCAGAGAGGCAGGAAGCCCTCTGATTCTTTCCAAAACTTATCTGCACTGTAGCCATATTAAAATGGTCCCTTCCCAGCAACTGCCAGTGTCTCCACTTAGGATCTTCATTCCCTGAGGCTTCATCAGGGATCTCACCTCATCACCTGTCCCTTCTCACTGCTGTAGCTTCACTCTTCCCCTTCCTAATAGGGATACAACAGAGCTTTGGCCATGGATTTGTGTCTCTGTGGGAACATGTGGGGGGCTTGAACTCTGAACAGGACAGGGGGAAAAACTCTGGGGGAGTATGAAAATGGTGCAGGTGTGAGCCTCAGGAAAAGCTTCAAGGATAAGGTACTGAGGACTACACAGACGTTGCAAGCATGTTGTCGGAGACCATAGGGGATCTTGAATTGTACCGACTGTTACCTTTTTCCATTAAGCTTTGTCTTTCTTTTCTTTATCCATTGCCTTGACTTCTACAATCAAATCCTACACTGAATTCTAAAAGTTCAGGGCAAAATCCTAGTCTCTTTAGAGAAACAAAATTTTACTATTAAATTACAGATAGTTGAATAATTGTTTGAATTACACACAACTGGAAACAGTTCTTCTTCCACAGAGCAGATGATCTCTCTGCAGATACAATCGGATGAATGTTACCAGAACTGCAACTAGATAGTCTTGGTGAAGTAGGAGATTAGGGCTGGAACAAAACCAGTCAAACAACCAGGTGGAATCTGTCAAAGTCACACAGACCCAGGATATATTCGAAGAACAGAGGATACAGGACACTGCAGTTCCTGAGCACTGTACACAGAACCAATCAGAAAAATGCAATTTTTCAGTTTTTCACTTATATCTGGTGTGAAGCCAAGTGGGCCCTTGTTAGGACAGTTTAAACCTTTCGGCAGGCCGACTGAGTTTTTGGTAGGACAATCGTCCCAGTGTCTTATTTGCAAGAAGGAGAACCCAACCCAAGAAGATTCCAGACCCAAAAGGTCCCTTTCCCTTATCCAAACCGCCCGTTGTGTGTCTGTCCACCGGCTCACTTTCACTCTGCAGAGCACACTCCCCCGCTTCAATAAATGTACATCTCTTTTATCTTTGTGTCTTATCCAATTCTTTGTTCAGGACGCAGAGAACCTGGAAAGAATTCTCATGGGACCCACCATCTAGTAACGCTGCTTGAGCCAGGTGTTCTGTTCCAGCCGCTGCCTCTGCGCCTCGGGTGGGGCTGCCACGCGGTGGACTCAAGAGTTAGATTGGGGAGTGTGTGTGTGTGTGTGTGTGTGTGTGTAAAAGTTTGAAGGTGGCTGGATTTAAACCTGGTGATGGAAGAAATGGTCTGAACTTTGAATCTGTGTGGCACGGAAAGACACGAACACCTACTACATGTGAATAAGCAGTTTAGAAAAAAATCTGTAAGGACAAAAGGGGTCGTGCACAGTGGCACACCTGCAATCCCAGGACTCTGAGAAGTTGAGGCAAGAGGATCACAAGTTTAAGCCCAGCCTGGACAATTTAGCGACTTTGCGAGACCCTGTCTCAAAAGTTAAAAAAAAAAAAAAAAAAAA